TGCAATGCTTCCATAGGCTTACAGCCTGTTCAGTGCAGTCTTACATCCATTGATTTCTACAACAAATGGGAGGTTCATGTGTGCCCCTTACTTCCTTTGTTCCCACAGAAATAAGTTCTCAAAAAAAAAAAAAATTGTACATGTGATGGGAGACCCCCCCGCAGCCAGTTGATATGAGTAGTTTCCTACAAATGTGTTTAAATTGGTATAACTAAAATCTGGTAGAATGATGACGAAATCTTAAAAGTCATTCTTGTTTCCTCTCCTTTCACACCTCAGATTTGATCCATCAGAAAATCCTCTTGATCTAGCCTTCAGAGTATATACCAGTGCTGGATCACTTCTCACCATTTCCAAGGCTACCACCCTAACCCAAACCTCTATCATCTTTAGCATAAACTACTATAATAGCCTCCTAACTTTTCTTTCTGCCCTCTTCTTACCTTCCTATAGTTTATTCTCAACATATTAATAGTAGTCAGACTGTGATATCCTTTTAATCCAGAAATCAGATCTTGTAACTCTTCTGCTGAAAACTTTCCAGTGGCTCTCCTTACATTTACAACAGAATCCAGACTCTTTGGCCTACAAGGACTACTGTGTCCTGGCTTCTATCAACTTCTTCATTCATCTCCCTCTATTCTTACCCCCACTTGCAAAGCTCCACTAACCTTGATCTTCTTTTTTATTCTGGAGCCAGACTTCCTGGGCTTAAATTACTGCCATGCTACTTACTTGGAAATCTTAGACAAGTTACCTAATTTCCTTGTACTTACGTTACTTCTGTTGTAAAATGATGTGGCCAATGATAGTGTCTCTCTCATAACATGGTTATTAGAATAAACAAGTTAATACATTTAAAATGCTTAGAACAATTCTGGGTACATACTAAGTATCATTTTATGTTAGCTATCCTCATTATTGTTGTCATGATTCCCATCCCATCATCATCGTCTTTGCTGCCTTCTTTTTTAATCATTCAGTTCTCAACTCTACTGTCAAATTCATAGGGAAGTCTTTCTTAATCAACCTAACTAAAGCAACCATCCTGGTCCTTCTCTGTATATTCCT